AATACTTACTAGTTTACTAAGGTGCAAAAAAATGGTTTTAAATATGCAAGAGAATTCAAAAATGGAATTTCCTGCCTCCAGTTTGAAGTAGCCCATCCTAAAATGTGACCATTCTGCAGCAAGTGTAAAACTGCTCTCAGTAGCCAGAGATACATCCCAGTTAAACTCACTGGCTTCAGTTCAATTAATTCAGTTTAAATCCCTTGTTCTTTTTCTCATCAGTTGACAACCAAATTGATAAACTGCAGCCTAGAACCCATGTACTAAAGCAGAGAGGCAAAACATGTGACCACCCCTCCATATTGCTGGACTGCACCTTCCATCAACTTTAACTAGTGGAAATAATGGTGATGTAAAATAGGACCTGTAGTTCAAGAACACCTGGAGGGCCACACGTTATCCCCTCATCTATTGCAAAACTATTTAAAAAAAAAATCAAAGGGCCTGCTTTTCAAACACACACAAGGCCTGAAATGTAGCTTTACTTCAAACCAGTAATCTTCCACTCTTAAGAAAAATTGTGAATAAATATGTCAGGAAAATATAGGACACCATCCAGCTCAAAGACAGACATCTTTAAAGTTCATTAGTTTCAGTGGGAGAAGTTAAGTTATGTGCTTAGATTCCTAGCATTAGGTGGGATGTGAAAGCAGTTGATTTTGGCTGGGTCATTACCCTTTCTACAGCATTCATCCATTGACTGTAAGTAAAGGCACCATTTAGAAATATTTTCAGCATTATTTTTTTCAATAAACAATCTAAGGGCTAGCTTAAACATGCATAGTTATCTCTAGACCTAGGCACTACAGCACTTAAGAAGTGGCAGCTGAAAGGACTCCACTGAAAATGTATTTGTGCCTGAGAGAAGGCAAATTTCTGTTGCCTTCTGTCTGTAGTAGCCATTTATACCTGCAAGTCGCCTCTGTATCTGCATTCTTCCAACAATGAGCATTCCTCTATGCAGAACCAGCCCCTGAGTTTTTTTTAAAATAAAGCAAAGCAATCTGAATGTTGATTCAGCACCATGAAAGAGACAGCTTTACCAAACTGAGGACACAATATGTGTTCTCATCATTTTTATTATTTAGTTATTATTTAGTTATTTGTGTGTGTGTGTATGTGTGTGTGTGTGTTTATATACATAGACAAACTAGAATGCCACATTCCATTCAGTCAATATTAAGCATATCAAAAACCCACTGACTTCAGTGAAAGGGTTAGTCATGTGCTTAAACCTTTTTTCTGTGGAAATCAATGGTACTTTGATGTATTTAACTGTGGGTAGAATGTGGCCACACTATAATCTGGCAAATCAAATGGTAGCTTTTTTATTTTAAAAATTCTTGGATTTGGTATCCTTCAAGAGACAGGGGTAGATCAGTGGAGTCCCAAGAGACAGTATTCTGTGTAAAAAAAAAGTTAAAATTAAAATTAAAATAGCCATCTGTATGGATGGCTTCACACACCTGCTTTAACAGGGCATTCTAAATGTGAAAAAACATACATTTTGCAAAAAGGGTTCATTTTGACATACACAAATGGAAAACTACATACCCTGCATCTCCAAGTCCCCTAAAATTAAATCTCAGTATAAAATAGATATATCATATACATATGTGCATCTATATATAGATATCTACATGGTATGCAGATAAGTAGATCACTCAGTATCTGTCTTTGGACTTTCCCCTGCTTCCCCCAAGGAACATGACAGTGAAACCTGTAGGAGGGGAAAACACAACCTTCCAGAAAAGACCAGATCAACATAATGGTTTTATGCCTTATAAATGTGTCCCAGTTCCAGGCTACTGCAATGTTCAGCTGCTGTTTCAATTTTCATGTTATTATATTGGTGCACCTGATACCAATGGAACTAACCTGAAAATCAGGCCTGAAAATGGACAGAAGTTGACTCTTGAACCCACAGATTAACCTCTAGGGGCAAGTTTCACTGCAGCCTGCCAAAGCAATTTAGGAGGGAAGGAGAATGCCCCCCCCCCCAGAATTTCTAAAAGTCTCCTACCTGAATTATGGACATCCGGCTCGGAGGAGCCTCAGTGACGTTAGTCCCTTGCCCTGTAAAGCTGGTGTGGCAGCCCACATGTCCCTGGGGTACAGTCAGGTTGTTGGAGGCTGGTTTCAGGTACATCACCTCTGACCTGGGGGAGCTAAGGGGCAGGCGGGTCTGGTAGTCAAAATAC